TGTGTGTGTATATATATATATATATATATATATATATATACACACACACACACACACCAATGGAAGTGTAATTGGCATTAAAATTAATTAAATGTGATTATTATGGTTTTTGAAATGCTTAATAGAGACACACAGACTGACTTCAATAATATTATTTCTAAGAGCATTAAAAGTTACTCATTCCTGTATAAACCCTGTTATCTACCTAATTTCTGTTTGTGTTGGAGATCAAAATGATCGACTGATGACTTCATCTAAAGTAGATAAATCTTGCCAGTCGACTTTAATCAATAATTAGCCAAAAGTATCAATATATAGCTGTATACTCATGCAGTTGAAAGGTGCTGCCCAGCTTGACTGTAAATGAGCGGTTTGTTTTCTTTGTCTTGGCTGAGATCCAGTCTCCTGTGTTCTTCCTTTTATCCCAGTCATAATCTTCTTCTATTCCTCTACAGTAACACGCAGTAAATGGGTTAGCTCGATGTTTAAATATTATGTAGAAATTGAATATGAAGTGCAAATGTTTTACCTTTGTAAGGCCAGAAGACGTTTAGTTATATTTTGCTTTTTTACTAGTATGTTGAATAAAAAGGTTTAGACATGAACTCTCTATAAAGGATACCTGACGATTGCCGATCAAAAGATTCTTAGCCCTTCTGATTTTTACTGGATTTCAGCTTGTGCCTTTGTTCTTTCTGTTGCCTCAGCAAGCGGATGCTTTGAGGAAATACAATGCAAAGTATATTCCATAAGACCCATCAGGAAATGCAGTGAAAATTACTCGTCTGCCCAAACATTTTTAGAAGTTTTAATTTCTCCAGGGCTTTTCAAATGACTTGCTAAGGTTGTGCTGAGGCGTTTGTTCAAGGCATCTCATAAATACCAGTGAGGTCCCATGAAATGACCATGTGGAGCTCAGCAGCAGTGTTTCATCCTAATTGCCTCCTCCTGCATGTGTCGGTTCCATTCAGAAGAACATGGGGACCAAACTACTGCAAATACGGATGATTGAAACAGAGCTATGGTGAACTGTAGCAGACGTCTCCCAACAGAGGGTTGAAAATCTAACCACCTTCTGTATTTTCGTTCAGCAGATGAACAGCAGAGGTCTCCCTGGATTTCATTTAGTTCTGCAGGTCTTGTTTAAGCGCTGGTTTTCTGCCCAGCTTAAGAAGCCTCAGCACTGTGGGTGAAGGACTCTGACTTTTAATTTAACAGACAAAGACGTTGCGATCAATAACCATCAGTGTTTGGTTGCTGCCGCTGTGGATTTGGTCTTACTTTATACTCTCTTTTCTTTCTCTGCCACTGATGTACCCTGCAGGAAGTGTCCTGAAGCCGAATGATGTGGAGAAAAAAAACAAAGAGATGTATGCATGTGTGTGTGTAGATTTACTCTGCTTCATTCAGAAACGTATTACTGAGCTATGAGAAATAAAACTTTCTTCAGTTTCCTTCCTTTTTTCCTTTGATCCTTTCTTCCCTTATTTGTTCTGTCCATCCGTCCGTCCGTCAGTTTCGGAGCGGTGAACTTGGCCCAAAAGCCAATCTGGGAAAAAGTCCCATTGATGAAGTCATTAATTAGATAGATTGGGCACATTGTAATCCAGGTGCAACTAGATGTGGTTTGCATTAATATCATAAAGCTCAGAATGGTAACCTTTGCATTAAACAAAGATCTATCCAAACGACCAGTGAGCTTGTTTGATTTACTGAGTTTTCTCTTTTGTAGAACTTTCAGATGTGGAACCCAACCTTTTCCTGAGGCCTTTCCTTGAAGTTGTGCGCTCTGAAGATACCACTGGGCCCATCACCGGCCTCGCCCTTACCTCTGTAAACAAGTTCCTCTCATATGGCCTTATAGGTAAGAAATGTCTGCTTTCCCCCATCTTTTTCATTTTTTAAAAAAAAGCCTAATTCAAAGAGTTCCTAATCTAAAATTTAAAGTAAAATAAGAAAAGAAAACAGTGGGATTCCTGGAGGACCTTGCTTGATTAATACAATCAATGATGGTTAAACAGCAGAATGCTGCTAGCTGCTAAGTACCAACAATGTGAAGCACAAATTATATTTATATTTTCCTACAATGCATACTAAAAAGGAAAAAAAAAAAAAAAACTTACTACTATAGACAGGGGGGGGATTTACCATTATGCAATACTAGGCAGTTCCTGGGGGCCACATAAAGCTCTGTTTACATGTATGATTAATACAACTATTCCTTATTTGTTCACATTAATTATGTTTTTGATTGAGAACATTTTTTTTTTAAGATGCCATCAGAACGCTTATAATATTAAGTGTGTCTCAGCCCCCCCTTCAGTGTCCACCATATTGGATCAGTCCATTTGCTGCACATGTTCAGAAAGGTCCAAACAGACAGCAGCAAACCATTTGAAAACAAACAGTGCGAAGAGCAATTTTGCCAACTTAGTGCTTTTGTCGCTATATTTAGAGACTAACACCA